CCCCAAAACCCCAAAACCCCAAAACCCCACTTAATCGAATTCAATAAATTTTAGCAGTTTTAATGTTTAAAATGATTTTATTTTGTTCAAATTAATCATAATCTGGACTTAAAATTTAGTAGAAGCAATCATTAAATACCAGCTTAAGCAAAGTATCTCTTATTATTAAAGCTAAATTTAATTTACTAATTTTCCAAATACAAGCTATTAATGAAGGATTCCTCAACAGAGACAGAATCATTTTACTCTACAGCTATCTCTGCTTCAAATAATGAGTCAGTATCATTATCATGTTCTTAAATTTCAGTATCCTTATAATAAACATTCAAATCTTTATAGAGAGATATCCTACTGTTCAATTATTTCTATTATTGTAATGATTATGAACTAGGTCTTGAGTCACTTGTAGATTCTGAGTCTCCACTGATCCTTTAAATTTCACCCAGAACCTTCACTTTCTCGTAGTTAACTTTAGGCTTGAATAATCGAATTTTTAATTTCTTTTTCTTATCAAATTTCTATCTACTGAAAAAATAGAACAAGCCAATAATGAGAATTCCATTGATAAAATCAAGATATTACAACACCATTGATAGATCTTCATTCATATAGCTGTAGACATTATTTTCATCCAAAAAGAAATTGACGACGTATTTATTTATTGCAAAATGAAAGAATATGTCCTTGAAGACCAGCCTAACAATGTAAATGCTGATAAAACAAATTAAAGCGACAAATGCCTATTAAGAAAATAAGTTGATTAGTTTTATTTTTACCAAAATAATGAATGATTTTTCCTTCAAGCTTTTATTTTTTAGAAGGTTAACAGCATTCTTTTTCCTCAACTCTTTTGTTTTATTCCTAAAGTATACTATAAATGCTAGAAATACTCCAAGCATAAAAAGGTTTAGAAAAAATCTAAAACACTAATGAAACCTAAATCAAAATTAAGATTGCAATATTACGTCAAGAAGAAGTATAAGAATTTATTATCTGTCCATGCAGAGACTACTCTCTTCTTAACATCAATGAGGTAGAAGTATTATAAGATATTCATTACAATGTCAAATATAAGCACAAATAACCCAAGATAAATGTACATTATAAGCGAGACACATTATCTTGATTTTTTGCGACATTCCTCATCTTTGGCTCATGTAGTAATTAGATAAACTGCCAGCCTGAAATAAATTTATTTGCCATAAAATACATTTTGAAAACAAAAATATGAAGAGGCAAAAAGTATAGCTGGCCAACCCCGTTTCCTAACATCAATGAAAATGATTAAAACTCTATATTTGAGATATCATCTGATGGCAATCCCTCTTAAGCATACTGATAATCCACAATTTTACCAACTAATTTGACTATAAAAGTTAAAGTTTGAAAATTGATACGAATTTAACCCACTATTTGTAGTAGGACGATGACAACTGAAAATCTATCAAGCATTTTTTTCAACTTAAATATGAAGAACAATGCATAGATTAAGTACAAAATCGTGAAAATTATAGTCTGTATGAGCTGCAGAAAATAATCCATTTATTTGATCTATTTAAATAATATTTTGGGTTACTACTCTTGATTTGCACATTATATTATTTTATAAATCTTTTTTCACTCTCCAATCAATATTTGTGATGCCAGGGGTTTTGGGGTTTTGGGGTTTTGGGGG